CATCTCAGGCATCTTGAACTTAGGACCTTTCAACTTTCCCTCAGGACCCTCAATGTTAACATCAGGGCCTTCAATGTCCACCTTGGGTCCTGAGATGTCAATGTCAGCCTTGGGCAGGCTCACGTCCACTTCTGGGCCTTCTCCTTTGAAGCCTGGCATGCTGAACTTGGGCATTTTCATCTTGGGCATTTTCAGGTGCCAGTCTGGGCCCTGAACATCAACATCTGGGACATCAATGTCCATTTTGGGGGCCTTTAGGTCACCTTCCACCTTAGGCAGGGAAATGTCCACATCACCTTTGACCTTAGGACTTTTCAAGTGTAGATCTACATCTGGCATGGAGATCTTGGGAGTTTTGATGTTCATTTCTGGCATCTTAAATTTAGGCCCCTTGATTTTTCCCTCTGGACCCTCGATGCTCATATCTGGGACTTCAATGTCAACTTTGGGTCCTGAGACATCAATGTCAGCCTTGGGAAGATTCACGTCTACCTCTGGACCCTCTGCTTTGAAACCAGGCATGCTGAACTTGGGCATTTTCATTTTTGGCATTTTCAGGTGCCAGTCTGGGCCATGAACATCAGGAGCATTTATGTCTACTTTGGGACCCTTGATGTTCACATCTGGTACTTTAATTTTACCTTCTACCTCAGGCACAGACACATCAACATCCCCCTTGATTTTTGGTCCTTTCAAATTTAGGTCCACATCAGGCATAGAAACATTTGGGGCTTTGAAATGCATGTCAGGCATCTTGAACTTGGGACCTTTCAATTTGCCCTCTGGTCCTTCGATGTCGATATCTGGCCCACTGATGTCACCTTTGAGGTCTGGCCCTTTGAGGTCACCTTCCAATTTGGGAACATCAACATCCACCTCTCCCTTTATCTTGGGACTTTTTAAGTGTAGATCAATGTCTGGCATGGAGATTTTGGGAGCTTTAAAGTGCATGTCTGGCATCTTAAATTTAGGACTTTTCCATTTGCCATCTGGACCTTCCACAGCTATGTCTGACATGTCAACATCCAATTTGGGGCCTCTGACATCCACTTCTGGACCCTTTAACTCTCCCTCCAGCTTTGGGGCAGAAACATCAAAGTCTCCTTTGATTTTAGGCCCTTTTAAGTTGAAATCAACATCAGGCATGGAGATCTTAGGTGCATGAAAGTGCATTTCAGGCATCTTGAACTTCGGGCCTTTCAGTTTTCCTTCTGGACCCTCAATGTTCATATCCGGGGCTTCAATGTCCACCTTGGGTCCAGAGATGTCAATGTCAGCCTTGGGCAGGTTCACATCCACATCTGGTCCCTCGCCTTTGAAGCCAGGCGTGCTGAACTTGGGCATTTTCATCTTGGGCATCTTCAGGTGCCAGTCTGGGCCATGAACATCCACATCTGGGGCATCAATGTCTATTTTGGGGCCTTTAATGTCCACATCTGGCACTTTCATTTCACCTTCTATCTTGGGCACAGACACATCCACATCCCCTTTCACTTTGGGGCCTTTCAAGTGTAAGTCCACATCAGGCATGGAGATCTTGGGAGTCTTGAAGTGCATGTCTGGCATCTTAAACTTAGGGCCTTTCAACTTTGCATCAGGACATTCTAGATCAACGTCAGGCATCTCCACGTCCACACTGGGGCCTTTCAAATCTCCTTCCAATTTTGGCACAGACACATCCACATCTCCCTTTAGTTTGGGCCCCTTAAGATTCAAGTTCACATCAGGCATGGAGATCTTGGGAGCCTTGAAGTGCATCTCAGGCATCTTAAACTTGGGGCCTTTCAGCTTTCCTTCCGGTCCTTCAATGTTGACATCTGGGGCTTCAATGTCCACTTTGGGTCCAGAGATGTCAATGTCAGCCTTGGGCACGTTCACATCCACTTCTGGGCCCTCACCTTTGAAGCCAGGCATGCTAAATTTGGGCATTTTCATCTTGGGCATTTTCAAGTTCCAGTCTGGGCCGTGAATGTCCACATCTGGGACATCGACGTCCACTTTGGGTCCTTTGATGTCCACATCTGGCACTTTCATTTCACCTTCTAACTTGGGCACAGACACGTCCACATCCCCCTTCACCTTAGGACCTTTCAAGTGTAAGTCCACGTCAGGCATGGAGATCTTGGGGGTCTTGAAGTGCATCTCAGGCATCTTAAACTTAGGGCCTTTCAACTTTGCATCAGGACATTCCAGATCGACTTCAGGCATCTCCACATCCACACTGGGACCTTTGATATCAACTTGTGGACCTCTGAGATCACCTTCTAGCTCAGGCACAGAAGCATCAATTTCTCCTTTCACTTTGGGTCCCTTCAAATTCAAGTCCACATCTGGCATGGATATCTTAGGAGCTTTGATATTCAACTTAGGCATCTTAAATTTAGAGCCCTTTAATTTTCCTTCTGGTCCCTCTATATCCAAATCAGGAGCATCAATGTCCACTTTGGGGCCAGACACATTAATGTCAGCCTTGGGCAGGTTCACATCCACTTCTGGGCCCTCACCTTTGAAGCCAGGCATACTGAACTTGGGCATTTTCACCTTGGGCATCTTCAGGTGCCAGTCTGGGCCATGAACATCCACATCTGGGACATCGATGTCTACTTTGGGCCCTTTGATGTCCACATCTGGCACTTTCATTTCACCTTCTATCTTCGGCATAGACACATCTGCATCCCCTTTGACTTTGGGGCCTTTCAAGTGTAAGTCCACATCTGGCATGGAGATCTTGGGAGTCTTGAAGTGCATGTCTGGCATCTTAAACTTAGGACCTTTCAGCTTCCCTTCTGGACCTTCAATATCAATATCACCAACATCCACATCCACCTTCGGGGCCTTCATGTCAATTTCAGGACCTTTCAACTCTCCTTCCACTTTGGGAAGGGAAACATCTACATCAGTTTTCAGCTTAGGGGCTTTTAGATTAAGTCCAACATCAGGCATAGAGATTTTCTGTGTCTGTATATTCATGCTTGGCATCTTGAACTTGGGACCCTTTAGTTTCCCCTCTGGACCTTCAATATTCACATCTGGAACATCAATGTCCACCTTGGGACCTGAGACATCAATATCAGCCTTTGGCAGGTTTACATCCACTTCTGGGCCCTCTCCTTTGAAGCCTGGCATGCTGAACTTGGGCATTTTCACTTTGGGCATCTTTAGATGCCAGTCTGGGCCATGAACTCCCACATCTGGTGCATTAATGTCCACTTTGGGACCTTTGATGTCAACATCAGGAGTTTTTATCTCTCCTTCTACTTTTGGAATTGTAACATCATAATCTCCTTTCATTTTAGGACCTTTCAAATGCAAACCAACATCTGGCATGGATATCTTCTGAGGCTTTATATTCATTTCTGGCATCTTAAATTTAGGACCTTTTACTTTTGCATCTGGACCATCAATATTCACATCTGGAACTTCAACATCCACCTTGGGCCCTGAGACATCAATGTTGGCCTTGGGCAAGTTCACATCCACTTCTGGGCCCTCACCTTTGAAGCCAGGCATGTTGAACTTGGGCATTTTCACCTTGGGCATCTTTAGGTGCCAGTCTGGGCCATGAACATCCACATCTGGAGCACTGATGTCAACTTTGGGCCCTTTAATGTCCACATCTGGCACTTTCATTTCACCTTCTACATCAGGCACAGACACATCCATATCTCCCTTTAGTTTGGGCCCCTTAAGATTCAAGTTCACATCAGGCATGGAGATCTTGGGAGCCTTGAAGTGCATCTCAGGCATCTTAAACTTGGGGCCTTTCAGCTTTCCTTCCGGTCCTTCAATGTTGACATCTGGGGCTTCAATGTCCACTTTGGGTCCAGAGATGTCAATGTCAGCCTTGGGCACGTTCACATCCACTTCTGGGCCCTCACCTTTGAAGCCAGGCATGCTAAATTTGGGCATTTTCATCTTGGGCATTTTCAAGTTCCAGTCTGGGCCGTGAATGTCCACATCTGGGACATCGACGTCCACTTTGGGTCCTTTGATGTCCACATCTGGCACTTTCATTTCACCTTCTAACTTGGGCACAGACACGTCCACATCCCCCTTCACCTTAGGACCTTTCAAGTGTAAGTCCACGTCAGGCATGGAGATCTTGGGGGTCTTGAAGTGCATCTCAGGCATCTTAAACTTGGGGCCCTTCAGCTTCCCTTCTGGACCTTCAAGGCTCACATCTGGGGTTTCAATGTCAACTTTGGGTCCAGAGATGTCAACGTCAGCCTTGGGCAGGTTCACATCCACATCTGGGCCCTCGCCTTTCAAGCCGGGCATGCTGAACTTGGGCATTTTCATCTTGGGCATTTTCAGGCTCCAGTCTGCACCTTGGACTTCCACATCTGGTGCTTTAATGTCTACCTTGGGTACTTTGATGTCCACATCTGGAACTTTCATCTCACCTTCTATTTTTGGTACTGACATATCTAGATTGCCTTTCATTTTGGGTCCTTTAAGATCCAAGTCAACATCTGGCAGAGTCATCTTAGGAGCCTTGAAGTGCATCTCAGGCATCTTAAACTTGGGGCCTTTCAACTTTCCTTCTGGTCCTTCGAGGCTCAAATCTGGAGCACTAATATCTACCTTGGGTGCAGAAATGTCCACATCAGCCTTGGGCAGGTTCACATCCACTTCTGGGCCCTCCCCTTTGAGGCTGGGCATGGTAAATTTGGGCATTTTCATCTTGGGCATCTTTAGGTTCCATTCAGGACCATGAACTTCAAAATCTGGGGCACTGACGTCTACTTTTGGCCCTTTGAGTTCCCCTTCCATCTTTGGCACTGTAACATCATATTCTCCCTTTACCTTGGGACCTTTCATATGCAAATCCACATCAGGCACAGAGATCTTAGGGGCCTTGATATTCATCTCAGGCATCTTAAACTTGGGACCTTTCAGCTTTCCTTCAGGTCCTTCAATGTTCACATCTGGAACTTCAACGTCCACCGTGGGTCCCGAGATGTCAATGTCAGTCTTGGGCAGGTTCACATCCACTTCTGGGCCCTCTGCTTTGAAGCCAGGCATGCTGAACTTGGGCATTTTCATTTTGGGCATCTTCAGGTGCCAGTCTGGGCCGTGAACATCAACATCTGGAACATCGATATCCACTTTGGCACTTTTAAGTTCAACATCAGGAACTTTAATCTCACCTTCCACTTTTGGCACTGTGACATCGTATTCTCCTTTCACTTTAGGGCCTTTCAAATGTAAGTCCACATCTGGCATGGAGATCTTTGGGGCTTTGATATTCATCTCAGGTATCTTAAACTTAGGCCCTTTCAATTTACCTTCTGGTCCCTCAATGCTCACATCTGGAGCACTAACATCTACCTTGTGCCCAGAAATGTCCACATCAGCCTTGGGCAGGTTCACATCCACTTCTGGGCCCTCTGCTTTGAACCCTGGCACACTGAATTTGGGCATTTTCATCTTGGGCATCTTAAGATGCCAGTCTGGGCCCTGAACATCCACATCTGGGGCATCAAGGCCCACGTTGGGGCCTTTCAGTTCCCCTTCAAGTTTTGGGACTGTTACATCATACTCTCCTTTTACCTTTGTGCCTTTAACATGCAAATCGACATCAGGTATGGAGATCTTTGGTGTCTTGACACTCATTTCAGGCAGCTTAATATCAGGGCCTTTAAGTTTGCCTCCCGGGCCCCCTATGTTCACATTTGGGGCCTCCACATTGACTTTGGGCCCCAAAATACTGACATCTTTGGGTAGTTTCACATCTACAGCTGGGCCTTCCCCTTCAACTCCTGGAGGGCTGAACTTGGGCATTTTCAGGTTCCATTCTGGGCCATGAACTTCCACACCTGGGGCACTGACATCCACTTTGGGGCCTTTGACATCCACTTCAGGGACTTTGGCTTTCCCTTCTACTTTGGGGAGTGTGACATCTACACCCCCTTTCACTTTAGGTGCAGCCACATTGAGATCTACATCTGCCATAGAGATCCTGCACGTTCCTGTTTTCCCAGAAGGACTACTAAGCGTGGGTCCCGTCAGGGTCCCCTCAAGGCTAGGTGTCTCTATGTCCACTTTGGAGCCTTTAACTGCCACTTGAGGGCCTTTAACATCACCTTGCACCCCAGGCACTGAAACCTTAATATCTCCCTTCAGTTTAGGGGATCCAAGGCTCAGATCCACATCCTGCATGGAGATTTTAGGTTTCTGTATGCTCATTTCAGGAGTCTTGACTTTCGTACCCTTCACCTTCCCTTCCAGCCCCCCAGCAGCAACTTCAGGCAGGCTGACGTCCCCAGAGATCCCAGGAAGAGTCACTTCACCTGTGGGCAGTGCCACATCAATGCCAGCTCCCCCTCCCTTAGAACCTGATACAGAGAATTTGGGAACTTTCACCTTGGGCATATTCAGTTTGCCCCCAGGCCCATGAATATCAACGTCAGGGGCCTGAACTTCCACACTGGAGCCACTGAGAGTGCCCTCGATTTTGGGCCCCGAGATGTCCACCCCTATGCTCCCCTGTGGCTTGGCACCTTTCAGGCCTAGGTTACTCTCAAGGGATGGCCCAGTGACCTGGGGGCCCTTCAGCTTCCCCTCGCACTCCTCAATATTGGCAGAAGGAGCACTGACTTCTAGCTGAGGGGTCTGGATGTCCCCGCCAATGGTCAGGCCTGGCTTGCCACCCTTGTGCTCCACAGAGAATTCAGGTACAGAAACGCTCAGCCCTGCCACTGGTGCCTGGCCCTCAGGCACTGTTGACACACCGAATTTTGGCACCTTCATAGTGGGAATTTTAATTTTCCCATTACTGCCACTCTCCAGAGACGGGTCCTGCACTTCCACTGCCCCACCCCCAAGAGAAGACGAAATGTCCACTCCTGGAACTTGGACCCCTCTTTTGCCACCCAAGTTCAAGCCTTTTGCACTGACACTGATGCCTGGGCTCCCCACCTTTATCCCAGGCACGGTGACCTGGAGCTTCGAGTGGCCAGCACCTTGGAGCTCTGGTCCTGAAGCGGAAATGGACCCCGCTCGGATGTCCACAACAGAGCCTGTGGTAGGAGACACTGCCCCCGGGCCCGAGGGCAGTCTGATCACTGTCTGGCCAGAGTGGGTGTCCACATCCACAGTGGAGATTTCCGTCAGTTCATGCCGTGGAATCTTGATCTTGAACTCTGGGCTGCTGATATCAATCTCCCTGGTTCCCTCGCGGCCTGTCACGTCGACAGTGTAGGCCGTGACCCTTCTAGTCACCGTGATGGTGCGGCTCTGGGTCTCCCCAGGATCCCCTTCTAGTCCATCCTCTGACCTCAGCCGAGGCTTGATCTTCGTGGTGTAGATGCGCTGGTAGTCCTCATCATCCCCGCTCTGCAGAAAGACACAGCCGGCCGAGGCTGTAGCAGGGTCTGCCTGAGCCACAGACGCCCGGCCACAGCCCAGCTGCCAACATGGTTGCCTGTTTCCCAAAGAAGCTGGGACCAGAACGGAGGCCCACGGAGCTTCCTGGGGCGGAGCACGGAGTGGGGAAGAAAGCGGCTGACAGCCACATCACAGGAGGAAAACGACTTATTTGGGGAAACTCTGGGAAGCAAAAGTCATGGGGGAGAGATGTGGGGTTGACTCCTGCCTTGCGTGGTCTGGAAGAAGGATTTACAATCAATTCTAGATTCCACCTGTCCTGTCAAATCCCAGGGATGCCTCCCAGCTCTGTGTGGATTTGACCCTTGGGCTCTCAATTCTCAACTCACTGGCTTGTTTAATGGGGACCCGTCAGAAAGCTTTTGTTGAGACTCTGCCGTGCTTGGGTTAACACTTTCACTTTGAGGACCCATTATTTGTTAAATAAACAAGCCATCAGAAGGAGCAAAGAAACATCCCCCAGGCACTTTGCTGCCCAGCCTCTGACTCACAGATGAGTCCAGGCCTCTGGAAGGATAAAAACGGTGTCTGGGAGGCAGAGCAGGGCGCCTGTGAGACTAGTCTGAAGACTCCTTGCCAAGCAGCTGAGCTTCCTCCTGGCATCTAGGGCCAGACGGCGTGAGTGGGTCCCTATGCTGCGGCACTCTGGAGAGACTGGTGGAAGACTTTCAAGGGCAACATCAGCCACACGCCACACACAAATAGGAACACACGGTCTGACTTAACAGAGAGTGCAGAGGGGAGAAAGCAGGAGAAGGAGCCACAAGAGAGGCCCAGGAGGCAGATACAAGGCTCAGGAAGTGGCCAGGTCAGTGGGGCTACGGGGGGCTCCGGGCGCAGATGGGCCAGTCGGGCACTCACCAGAACCACCTCAGAGCTTCGGGAGCTGAAGACTTCGTGGGCCCAGGTCTGGCCAGGCTCAGGGGAGCGGTCCCCCTTGCGATGCAGCTTCAGGCCCACAGTGTGGTGCCCCATGGTGTTCAGCAGCTGGGTCACCTCGCCTGACTGCAGGTTGTCAAAGTAGATGGTGGCACCCACAATCTGGTCCCCTGAGCAGGACGGAGCAAGGAGCAGGTGAGACCCACGGGGTCTTGGGAAAACAGCACACAACCACCGCATGCTGGGCCCTCGAACTGACTTGCATTCAATGCGTGTCATGACCACTCTACAGGGCAGGTGCGGTAATACCCATTGCGCAGATGAGGAAAGTAAGGCTTAGGGAGGCCCACCGATTCGCCCGAAGTGGCAGATCTTGTGGGTAGTGAAGTGGGCACCAAGGACGACGTCTCCACCCCCCTACATAACCACTTTCCCCGAGGACTATGTGGATCGAGGGACAGAGTGGGCAGGGGAGGGGAGGGCAGGACTTGGGTACCGACCGTCCTGATGTCACTGGGACTGGCCCCTCCACGGCCCCTGTGGCCTTCCCTCCGCCGCCCTCAGCCAGCCCAGCCCAGCACCCAGCCCGCACCCTGAGGTGACTCACCCTCCTTGACCACCCCAGTGCGGGCCGCAGGGGAGTTCTGCATCACCTCCTGCACAAAGACGCCGTCATCCCTCTGGGCGATGGTCAGCCCATGGGAGCCGCTGCCCTGCCAGTTGGGCAGCAGCAGCTCCCGGGTCGTGTCTTCTTCCTTCTCCATCTGGGGTGAGGTAAGGAAACGTGGGCTCAGGACAGTGGAGGCTCGAGGGCACGAGGAGGTAAGAAAGCCAAGGATCTCTGGTGCTGTGAACTTGCGGGGAGTGCAGCGTGTCCCAGGTGCCCGTTTCTGCTGTGGAAATGGTCCCCATGGAAAGTGGACACTGGCTCATCCCTTCCCCCCGGGGCCCTGCCTCCCGATGCCACCCACCCTGGGTCCCCCCCCCAACGCCCCTCACCTCCGTCACACCCTCCCTCCCACGGACCTTTTGCAGGACTCAGTTCAGGAGCGGATGCCTTGCCAGGAGCCCGCCCCTCCTTCCTCTCTTCTCAGTCTCTCTCGTCAGGAATCTCGGTCACACAGCCTAGGGAAAAGCGGACAAAGATGCTCACGCTCAACAGGCAGCTCGCTCAAAACCCCGACCGCAAAAGATGGCTGGCTTGCTCCTGTTCCGTTCTCGGGGCCACACCGAAACCCCAACCCTCCCCTACTTCAGTTCCATTCATACATGACTGTCCAAGCTGGGATCGCGGAAAGGGGGCTGAGGGGAGGCCAGACCCAGATATAAACCCTGGTATCAACCCTGGCTCGGGGGCCCCTGGGTGGCTCACTGGGTCAAGCGGCTGCCTTCAGCTCGGGTCATGATCCCGGAGTCCCGGGATCAAGTCCCACATCGGGCTCCCAGCTCAGCGGGGAGCCTGCTTCTCCCTCTGCCTCTGCTCGCGAGCTCTCTCTCACTCTCTCTCTCTCTCTCAAACACGTAAATAAAATCTTTAAAAAATAAAAAGAAATAAACCCTAGCTCTGCATCCTCCCAGCTGTGTGCATGTCCCTGGCCAAGTCACTCAACTTCTCTGAACATCCATCTCCTCCTCTGTGAAAACGGAGCTGATACAGGATCTCCCTGAAGACGGAAGGAGAGAGTGCGCGAGCGTGTGTGGAAAAGCTCAGGCGCACACGAGTCTCACAAAACACCCATTCTCTTTAGGCTCTTTATAACAGCTCCAGGAAGGAGACGTTGCTGTCCCCATTTTACAGATGGAGAAACTGAGAGCTGAGGTCCACCATGAGCGTGCCACTACCCTTGGGCTCTGAGTCTGCAACTCTCTCCCCTACAGCACCTCAGGTCTGCAGCTTTAACCGGCGTGAGACTCCACTGCTCTGTGTCTCCAGCCCTGAAGGCAACTGCCTAGCAGACCTGAAAGCAGGAATGGTGGTGCCCTGCCTCCCCTGCTGACAAACAGTGACTCTGAGTCACCTGATCCAACCCGGTCTTTAGGACCAGGGGGACTCTCACCAGCTGGGAGCTCCAGATGCAGCAGGCTGAACCAAAGAAGCCCCGAGCCCCTCCGGGGCCAGCCCACGCCCCAGATGCTTGAATGCAGCTGAGCTGCCTCAGGGACACGGGGAGTCAGGGCCCATCTGGCTGCCCACGCAGGGCGCTGGGCCAGGCCCCCATAGGAGCCGGCACTCGGGAGCAAAGATGCCCTCTGGCCACAGGATGAGCTGTCAGCTGCAGAGGTGCCCTGGGAAGACACGAGGCAGGACTCTGAATACAGCCCTGGCCTACAGCCACCCACGCAGAATGGCAGGGGCAGAGTCATCCAGAAGCAGGTCTGTGAAACCGTGTGGGGGATGCTAAAAATCAGGCAGAGCCTCACCCAAAGCCCCACCCTAAAGCTGTTTACATTCAGAAATTAGTCAACCGATCAATAAATACGTGCATACTGATGGCCTCCTGCATGTCCAACACTGTTGCAGACACAGCAAAGAAAACCAGCAAGGGACAGACACAGCCCAGCCCAGCCCTGCGCCCACTCGCAGCTTTAGATTGTCACTGAACTTCACTTGCGTGTCCTCCCAGCATTTACTAAATGCGCTCCATGCGCCAGATGGGGAGATTTTAAAGACTTAAGTTCCTGTCCCGGATATAAATTATGAGCAAGGTGCTCTGGGCGTGACTCATTTAGCCTCAGAATGTTCTAGAAGGTTGGGGAGCCTCCTGGGGGGGAATGAAATGTAGAAGGAGAGAACGGGGCAAAGAGAACCTATTATTTGCCAGTTCTCTTGAAGGCGTTAGAGTTTGCCTCTGAGGACAGGATCGTGTCCCTCGGAAATTCACGGGCGCTTAGCAGCTCTGGCGAAAGACAGCACCTAGATCCCCAGTCCTCCACACACTGAACTCACGCACGCAGTATTCAGGACATGGGTGCTGCCTAGGAGGCGAGCAGAGCCACCGACGGTGAGTGGCCTCTCAGCACAGGTGTGAGCTGGGGAATCGCCTCTTCCCCTCCCAACAAGCAGCCCCTATGCGAAGTCACACTGACCCCAGCCAACAGCACAGCTGTGACTTTAAGGCGCCTTCCCCCAGCGTCCAGCACCAAGAAGCCAGCCCTGCAGACAGGGAGCCAGGCAGGGCAGGGAAGGAAAAGGCTTCCAGCCTGAGGGCTTCTCAGCTGTCTGAAGCCACCAACCAGCCTAGCACCCCACTCTTCCTCCTTGAGCAGGCCCCCCTTTTCTCTGCCCAGCAGAGCCAGCAGCCAGCGAGGGGTGGAGACAGCGAGCCAGCTCACCCTCGCCCACAGCTCGGCCCCACCCTCCCTCCTTCCCCAATGAGTCACTGAGGCTGCAACAGCTCCAGACATGCAAAGGGTCACGCCTAAAAACCCATCGACAAAGTGCTTCGTTGGCCAGAACCCCGGTGCCAGAGGGGCTGGGGCTCTGGCGCAGACGGGCAGTCAGCTTCCCTCAGGATGGAGCCCCAGGCCAGGAGTCCCCAAAAGCACAGCTCAGAGGCTCAGGAGGGACTTGCTATGCACCTCAAGCCAAGCAGCTCAGAAGGAGGGGAGAAAGCCATCATGAGTGGTGAAGGATCCACAGCCCGTGAGAACAGGAGCCGTGGGACCGGGGGCTGCAGGTTGGCCCCAGCAGGGCACCCCCTGGATTCCTGGCTGGGAGGGGCTGCCAACCACCCTGCCTGCCCCGGCCTAGGGCTCTCCTTCTAGCGCAGCCAGGAGCAACTCCCCTCCCCTCTCCTCTGCTCTGGGCCATTGAGGTGGCTGCACATGGGGGTACTACTGGGGGATTCGAGACCACGGTGGGAAGGGTCTGTTTACTGCATCTGAGTCCTGGCGCTCAGTCTCTCCCACATCTTTGGAGCCTGTACCAAGCCCAGATGGGCCCTTCTTCTCCTACATAAGTCAGGTGATGCCAGGCTTCCCTGGGGCCTGAGGGTCCTGCCCTGTGGCTACCCAAAGGAAGGTCTTTGGAACTCCAGGGAATTCTGCACATTCGGCCCAAGTGTCATAAGTCTTTGGAGCTAGAAGACGCCTTATAGCCATGCTGTCAACATGGTAGCTATATGTGGCTATTTAAATGTATATTAATTTAAATTAAGTTAAATTGAATTGTTAGTTTATTGCTTGCAGTAGCCACATTTCAAGAGCTCAACAACCACATAAGGGCTACCATATTAGGGCGGATGCAGAACATTTCCACCACTGCAGAAAGCCCTGCGGGACTGCACTGTCCCGTATTTACAGATGGGGAAGGCGAGGTCCAGAGAGGTGAGGACAGGAGAGTGTTGGGGTCCCAGAACCCTGGTCTGCCAGCTCCCCACACCAAGGTCCACCTGACCCTGGCTCACAGTGTCCTTTATGATGGGAGGGACTGGAGTGGGGACCCTCTAGGCAGAAGGCTGCTTTGAGGGCCGAGAAAGAGCGAGATGGTATGTCCACTCCACCTGTGAGGCTGAGACTACGGGAACACCATAACTCAGGCTAGAAGCAGCGAGAGAAGAACAGGGCTGTGCCAACAATTCAAAACTGCACAGAGGGGGCGCCTGGGTGGCTCAGTCGGTTAAGCATCTGCCTTCCGCTCAGGTCATGATCCCAGAGTCCTGGGATTCAGCCCCAGCCCGCCCCCACCCCCGTTGGGCATCTTGCTCAGCGGGAAGTCTGCTTCTCCCTCTCCCTCTGCCCCGCCCCCTGCTCCTGCACACACTCTCTCTCTCAAATAAATAAATAAAAATTTATTTATTTATTTGAGAGAGAGAGAGAGAGAGAGAGCACATGAGAAGGGGGAGGGTCAGAGGGAGAAGCACACTCCCCGCTGAGCAGGGAGTCCGATGCGGAACTCCATCCCGGGACTCCAGGATCATGACCTGAGCTGAAGGCAGTCACTTAACCAAATGAGCCACCCAGGCGCCCAATAAATAAAATTTTTTAAAAAGCCTTCAAAGAGGAATGTGCAGACCGGAGGGGGCGGGGGTTGACATGCGGGCAGATCCGGGAAGCAGACTCCTTGCCCAGGGCAAAGGGTCTCTGCCAGGGGTGGCATCCAGAGGAGCATCTTTCCCACCCTGCCCTTAGGGAAAAGAGCCCCTTCGTCCCCCAAGAGCGAGTATGAAGTCAGCCAGGGAGGGGGGCCCAGCCTAACCGCTGCTGCAGCCAAAAACAGCCTCGCAGCCAGTGTCAGGGTCAAGATGACAGGAACTGATAGAGGCCCACTGCCTGAGAGACATGGCCGTGGGCCTCCATGCCTTCTGTGCGCCAAACCTGAAGCTACATACCAGAGGGGCACAAGTGTGAGCACATGCCCAGCACAGGATGGACACGGGAGGTGAGGCTCCAAGGGAGAGAGAAGCGCTCCCACCCACTGCGGAGACGACACCAACAGCACTGGGACTTGTACCCAGCGCAATGGCAGGTACAGGACGGATCAGACCCACCACACACAGAAGCCAGGGAGAAGCACCTCCTGAGCCCAGGAAGAATGAAATGACTCACACCCCAGGTAGAGACCTCCACCAGAGGGAAAGTCCCCTTATAACAGGACGAGCGGGTAGGATATTGAAAGAAAAGGGAGACACACCCAGAGGGGCAATCCGCTCTCCTAAGCACCAGCCAGCAAAGAGGAAGAGAAAGTGCTGCGTTGAGAGAAAACCTCCAACAGACTGAGAAAAAGAGAATTTTGCCAAGCTCCTGTGGCGTGCTGTAGTTCCAGGCCTGGGGGCTCATTCGATCCCAGACAACCCTCCGTGATTAATAATTAATGTCCTTATTTTAGAGATGCAGCAGCAGGCCTCCAGAGGAAAGATGACTTGTCCAAGTATGAGCTAGGGTTTGAGATGTAAGCCCGGGCTTCTAGGACTCTGTGGCTCCAAAGCAAACAGCCTTTACCTCGGCGGAGGAATGAAGGCGCAAATAAATACACACAGGATGAGAAACCACAGAGAAAGATGCACAAGGGAGATACACAGAAGAGAGACCTACACTGGAGGAGGGCCAGAGAGACACCCACAGGAAGATGAAGGGGCCTCCATGCTCACCTAGAGGGA